CGCACGTGTGGGGTGCGCACCTGTGTGCGCGCGAGGGGCGGCGCAGCTGTGAGGGCGCGTGTGGGGCGCGTGTTGGTGCGCGCAGGGTGCGGGTGCGGGAGCGCGGGGAGGAGCCTGCGCTTGGACGGCGTGGGGCGGAGAGTCGGGGTCGGGCGAGCGAGGCGAGCGCGCTGCGGGTCGGGACGCGCAGTCGCCAGGGATCCGAGGTCTGGAGAGGTGGGGTCCTTCGGAGATGAAGACCCGAGAGGCGGAGAGCCTGCGGGGTGACGGGCAGGAGCTCTGGGAACCCCGGTGCCTGGAGCGAGAATGTCCCACCGGGGCTGGACGATTGCAGTCTGCGGGACGCACGGAAACGTGAGCCTCACGCGAGAGAGTGAAGAGCGCTAAAGAAAAGGGGGAAGTTTGAGGCAAGTGAAATCTTCGAGGTGAATAATTGGCCTCAGAAGTTAGGGTCAGCCAGAAAGTTAGTGGAGCAAAGGATTTGGGAGAAGAGGGAGAAAGGATGTGGTTTAGAGGATGGGTCAGTTCACGCTCCAGGCGTTGGGTTGGGTCTGGCGAAGTCACAGGATCGCTGCCGGGCCAGCAAGCCCTGGGCTTTAAGGCAAACGGGACAAACGTTTTAGGCGGTTTCTTGCTTTGAGAAACCTGTTACTCCGAGGTCCTTGGATTTGTGGATCTGTGAATTTAGGATTTATCTGTGCTCTTGTGTCTTCTTTCTTTGCTGTCTTTAGAGTGTGAACACGGCTATGCCTCCTCGTTCCCCTCCATGCCCAGCCCCCGGCTACAGCATTCAAAGCCCCCGCGGAGGTTGAGCCGCGCACAGAAACACAGCAGTGGGAACAGCACCACCAGCACTGCCAACAGGTACGAGCTGGGGAGCTTTCGAGGGAGGGCGGGCGGGTGGGAGCGCAGCCTCAGAGGTGCTGGTCCTGCTGACCAGCTTTTCCTCTGACACCAGCTCCAGAGGAGCACAAAGTGGGTTTCTTTACCACCACCCTGGGGATTTGGATCTTTTAAAATAATAAAGTCTTGGAATCATAACATGGCCGTGTGTGGAAGGGAAGTAGAATCTGGGAAGACGATTTAAAAAGTTTGTGGGGTTCAGGTAGGGAGGTTTATGACTGGGCGCAGGGTACCTCGAGGGACTTGGCAGCCTACGCTTCGGCAGTCACATGCCGAACGTAAGCTTGGGCCAGTTTGCGTTTTGCTTTCCAAGTTTAGAGTGGTCCAAGAAGTACTTCTTCAAAATTAGAAATAGCTCCGGCAGGATATAAGGTAGAATCAAGGGCTTCGTTAAAGGAATAAAAATGTTTAGAAGAAGTTGGTCGGCCTGGGCTATTTATTGTCTAAAGAAGAGGAGGAAAAACATGCCGTGGAAGTCTTCCATCTTATTTCATGGTAAAATTAGACAGGTGCAAAAATACAAAAGAAAGATGCTTATTCTTAAATAGACAAATCTTATAGAGTATATTGTCTGTATGTGTGCAGACAGTTGACTTATATGAAAACTTTCGGTACTGTCTGGGTGTGTCTTCAGTATTTTTGTTCCAGGGAGCCAGTAAAATTCCAAGGATTCATCTTATACAGAGTTTTTGAAAGAAGGATGATCAACAAACACTGCCTTTTTCCTTAGTAAGAGGACGTTAATTGAGATCTTTAGTCCTGGTTCTCTAAATCTAGTCTAGAGAATGTAGAGTATGTATGATTCATTGTGGGGAAGGTGGGGGACGAGTGAGTTTGTGGGTAATTAAAAGTTGCCCTGAGGGCTTTGGGGAGCTTCAGCCAGGTTGTTCCGGAGGGCGCAGCAATAGGAGCTCTTGAGAAGGAGAGAACCTGAGGCTCCTATAGATAAAGGAGCTCATGGGGTTGGATACTCGCCCTCTGCATTTCAGACATAACTGAGGTAGAACTAGGATTCACTCTTACCCGTTTGACTTGCCTTTAGAGCTACATGTTTTGTTTTTGGTTTCTTAAGACTGTTTTGTGTGCTTTAAATTTGATTTTTTAAATTATAAAAATAGCCTTACATTTAATATGCTATATTAATGTGTCTGTGAGTCCAGAGGGTTTGTTGTGGTATGGTATGTTTGAGATAAAAATATGTAGTTTGATAGACAGCATTAAAAAGGACATAAATTTAGCTGGGCAGGGTGGTGCATGCTGGTAACCCCAGCACTTCGAAGGCTGAGGCAGGGGGATTGCTGTGAGTTTGAGGCCAGCCCAAACTGCATAGTGAAACCCTGTCTCAAAAAGACAAAAACAACAAAACACATAAATTTGGTTACCCTTGCAGTTTATCTGGTTAACCTATCAGGAGTTAAGATCTATTCAGGAATTCTTCAATCCATGTGTAGATGGAAACAAGAAAAAAGTTTTTAAACTTGGAGACTGATAAGACTACTGTATAGGAAATCAGACTTGAATTTTTCATGCTATGTATATTTCCTGTTTTATGGAAATAAGGTTTCATTACATTTCGTCTCTGTCTCTTACTGTTGTCGTCTGTAAAGTGAGAGGATAGATCAGAGGGTTTCTTCTCCTGAAGTTCTGTGACTGATGTATTGACAGTTTTAGTTTAGTTACTGTATTAGTTATTTAGTGTATCTCCCCATCGTTGCAGTTGTGATACTTTTACTCAGAACTCGAGGATTATGTTATAGGTCATGAATAGGAAAGTCTTTATCCTGTTTTCTTACATTTACACTTGCTCAGCTTGGGGTTTTGACTGAATGATGTTTTTCTTTCATGCTAGTGCTCTTGTTAGGATTTTACTATATTGTGTGGGACCATAGTATTTAAGCACTGTGGTCTAACAGAGCATGTCAGAGAATTTGTAAAACTATAAGCATGCTATGTTCTGGTAAGTACCCAAGGGAGAATACATACACATTTTACAACCTAAGACTAAGTACGATAATTTTTCATAGCAGTTTCAATAGGAAGCAAGAAAGAAAAAGAAGTAGATTTTAGAATATATTATTTTAAAGTAGGTGCATCTACGTGTGAGTTTCAGGCTGGAGCCTATGAAAGAGAACTAGTATGTTAAGTTGAAGCACTAGAAATTATTGCTCCTTAGCTATTTATTGAAAATTTTTGATTCATAGAAGTAGGGGAGCTGAACATAAAGTTCTGATGGGGGGGTATATGGGAAATAGTCCATTTGTAAGTGGACATTGTGGGCTTCCTGTTACCTTTAGCGTACTGTTGGATTTAATAGAAGTTTTAGTATACTGAACTTGCAGAAATTTCCATTTGTTAATCATCTGAATCAAGGAAAAGGATGGGGATGATGAGTATTCGTCATTTTTTTCAGATCAAAAAGCCACTTGTCAGAGTTGCTGTTCTTACTATAAGACGTGAACATTGATACCTTATAGGTCATAAAATGACATTTATTTCTCTGAGATTGTAGCATTTCAAAGATAGAATGGTGGCTGACTTTTTTGGCGTACTGTTCTTAGGTATACTTTGATATTTGGGATACAAAATGTTATTTTGTAAAGTTATCCTGAGAATTGACTCATAAATTCCTATTTTTCCTTTTTCGTAAATTGTGAAATCTTTTTGTCACAGAAGTATAAAGAAAAGGAAAAAAGTAATATAGTGTGATATTACCAGGATATACCTTGCAAATCCTAGTAATTTTATCTGACAGTTGGGAGGTGAGAGCTATAATATGTAATTATTTTTTATATACATACTTGATTTTGCTGTAATCTTGGTCCCAGCTTTTCTGGCACACTTCCTAACAGTAGCCTCTTAGAGAACTATCTGGCAGATTGGGGAGCATCAAAGCCCAGGTTGTCTGCTTTATTGTTTTGTCTCTCAACTGAAAAATTCAAGATCTGTCATTTTAAAAATTCTACTTAATGATCTGCGGCTTTAGTGTTACACTGATTCCTTCCTGAATTTCTCTTGAACCCGTCGTCTTTTAGCTTTACTACCTCTGTCCTAATCTCAGCCATCATCTCTTACCTGGACAATTGCTGTAACCTCCTCTCTGGCGTCCTTGCAACCACAATTCTCATTAATTATATTGGCTGGCTTTTTTTGAGTGCCTGTAAAATACCATGTTTCCTTCTACTTCAAGGTGTCTGCATATACTTTTCCCTACCAGCAGTCATTTTCCTCCTTCTTTGCCAGATTAAGTCTATTCATTAACTTTTTCCCTCAGCACAATCTAACTTCCTTAGGGAAGCCATTCCTACCTCCGTAGTAGATCAGGTCTTTACCTCTGCTTACTTTTCCTTCGTAGTGTTTATGACATTTATAAAAAACATAGCTGTCTGATTATTTAAGCCGCTTGTACATTCATTGGACTAAAACTCCACAGGGAAGGATTGCCTCTTACTTGTTGCCATTACCTGTCACAGTGCTCTGTACAGTGTAGGTGTTTCTCAAAGAATGGAAGATTTTGGGGCTGGGGGTATAGCTCAGTGGCACAGCGCCTGCCTGCCAAGTGCAAGATTCTTGGGTCGAGTCCCCATACCCTCCAAAAAAAGAATGGAACATTTTAAAACTCCAAGTAGGCTTTCCTTAAGTGGAAACTTGAGAGGTTTTTTTTGCTGAGGATAGTGTTAGCCTGGGAGGGCAATGATGGAAGAACATGCAATGGCTGCTCTGACAGACTATTACTTTATGTTCTAAGAGATGTGAATGATAATACATTTGAAAGGAAAACAGTATGTAGTATTTGAAGAGAAAAGATCTCCAAATTGTCAGTTCCTTTAAACAAGTACAGTAGACTACAGAGTCCCTCCCTCCCCCTTCCCTCCCCCCTTTCTCTCTCTCTGTCTCTTTCTGTCTCTCTTTCGCTCCTGTTTTTTTTTTTTTTTTTTTCTTTCTGTACTGGGGATTGAACCTAAGGACACTCTACAGCTGAGCTAAACCCAACCCTTTTCATTTTTTTAAAATTTTGAGACAGAGTCTCTAAGTTACCCAGGCTGGGCTCAGATCTGTGGTCCTCCTGCCTCCGCCCCCAAAATGGCTAGGATCACAGGTGTGTGCCATTGTACCTGGCTGCTGTACTTAGAAACATCACCATCGTCCTGTCTTGAAAATTAAATGATAGCAAAAGAACCAGAAATCTGTCAGTATTGACAATGTGAGGTGTGATTGAAATGTGTGGTGAATGTTTAAATTTTAAAAAGTTTCATTACAGTAGAAGACACTTTGCCATCTATCTCCCTCAAAATACCCGCCTTCAGTTGAACACACTTACTCACATCATTCTTGCTACTTTCTGAAGCAATTCTGGAAGTCCTCTATCCTGAGCGTCTTTATGATGTATGAACAAAAATGCAGTGAATGGTGCGGCTGAATGCCACCCCACAGAAAGGCAGAGCCACAAATACTTTGTGGTGTGACCCTATCCACCTTATTCACGGACCGGGTGCCACAGGACTCCTGGCTCTTCCACAAAGTCAAAATGACCACGAAAGGTAAACGTTTTTAGTTGATGCGGGACATCAAGGCTGCCACCACAGCACAACTAAACATAGGAAACAGCACTTCTAGATTCACAAAATGACAAGAATGATGGGATGTGTTCCAGGTGAGGGGAGTTAATGACAATATATATTTTATTGAAATAAATTTTAAAAAAACCTTTCAATCATTCACTGTATGTTTTTATCATACCTAGTACAAACCTGTGACATAGGTAGTAGCTGCATTGTTTTAAGGGGACCTGGAAAGTAGCAGCAATTTATGCTTGAATTTCAAGTTGATGTATAATACCTTTTTAGTGTCCTGTGGATGCTAAAGAATCTGTATTTATGAAGGAAGGCCTTAAAACTAAATAACTTTACTATTGCTTATAGGGCTTTGGCTTAACTTTTTTTAAACTATAAAATAAATGTTTT